ATAGCATAGCATAGAATAGCATAGAATAGCATAGAATTGACTATACTACAATATCATAGCATAGATGAGACAACTACAATAGAAGAAGAAGAAGACGATTCAGAAGAAGAAAAACAACAACAACATAAACAACAACAACACTGGCAACAATACACGTGACCAGACGACATCACACCTCATCTCCTAGCATTATATTCTCATCTCACGCTCACATTTGCATTGCGATGACGACATCAACTAACGTGTTTCGTCTCGCGTCCCCTAGGTGGCATTGCATGCGCATGTTTGTGATGAGCACATTGCTACGCTGCCAGGACCTGGACGAGCGAGCCGAGCTGCTCAGCTGCTGGATACAGGTCGCCATGGAAACCAAAACCTGCCTAGGAAACCTGTACGGATTCAGTGCCATCACTCAAGCCCTGTGCAGCCCACCAGTAAGTATGCTTCTCTCTCCCCCTCCTCTTCGCGCTCTAAGTTCAACGTCGGCTAGTTCGAATTTAGTTGGGCGTAACTTATCCAATATCTTATATCAAATTATTCTACATGTTGCTTCAACCATTTATCCGACTCAAGCTTTAACATGAACCCATCGACGAATCAAACTGAGCTATTAATTAATGAACTAATTAATTGTCAAGAGGTTTGGTAATCATACACCTGATGATTGATGAGGGACGTTGTTTAGCGATACATTGATGATGATGATGTTTAGCCAAACATTGACGATGATGATGAGGTTTAGCGATACATTGACGATGATGATTGCAGGAGAGTACGTGATGACGACGTGTGTCGATGGCAAGCCCGTACATTTCCGCGTCAGCTCGGCGATGGTTGGCCAGGGCCACTACCCACGAATTCAGTATCACTTCGAAGAGGAGCGATTCGACAAGCTGCCAGAACTAGTCAGGTAACACTGCGCGTACATTTATGGAAATTTAATGTTTAATGTTGAATTCTTTGACGATTTTTGCTTGACGATATTCTGCGTGTGCAAATTTAATACTGAATTTTTTGACGGTTTTTGCTTGAAAATATTCTGTGTACGAGACAGGGGATTGATGGAAGCTGCTATTTGTCGTTGATTTGCTATCACGTTTGTGCGGGGGCGTAGCTAACTAGCTTTGCCTGGGGGTCACAGCCTCGTGTTTGATATTTTCGATAGATGATAGTGGGCAGTTTGCCGCTAGCTACGGCTTTGTTGCGGGTAGCTTTAATCCAAACTTCTTAACCCAATCAATCGAATTGTAATTTGCTTCGCTGTCAGAACGCGTTTCAAGCAGACAATTTTCAGTTCACAAACTGTCGCAGACAAACCCGTTCAGCTGTCCGCATGTAAGCCCTGAGTCTGCGACGTCTGATTTTTACACAGCGTGCACAGTACCTTCGTAAACTAATCCGTCTGCTTTACCCTCTCATTTCCAGTGACGTTACACGGAGACGAGCTGTGATTGGTTTACCCATGTTGGTTGACCCATCTTCTTAGACCCATGTTGACTGACCAATGTTGGTTGACCAATGTTGACTGACCAATGTTGGTTGACCAATGTTGATTGACCCATGTTGCTTATCCCATGTACAGAAACAAACATTCGTTAAATTTGTCAAAATTGTTTCCCACTAAACTATGATCTCCTCCCGCACGCAGGTACTATATCGGCAACGGAAAGCCGATCTCGGAATCGTGCGGCGCGCGCATCTCGCAGCCCGTCAACCGCACGATGCCGCTCAGCTACTACGACGCCAAGTACGGCGTGCTGACGAAGCGACGTGCCAGCTCCTCCTACTCGAGCTTCCAGCCCAAGGTCGCCGCCTTCCAGAACGGGGAAGCCTCCCTGAGGGCAGCCGGGGGGAAGCCGCTCGTGCGCCGCAAGTCTCTCGGCGCGATCGCCGGCCTCGCGGGTAGCGGGCTGAGCTTGCGACGGGAGGAGCTGCTCCCAGGCTCCTCCCCCTCTCCCTCCGCCGGGTCCTCCCCGCCGCGCCCCATACTGAAGGTGAACACGCGGAGAGAGGCGATGGGTCTGCAGCACACGGCGTCGCTGGGGAGGCGCGGCAAGCAGTGGAAGGAGGAGGAGATGGAGGAGGGGAGCGGTGGAGAGGAGAAGCCGGGGTCGGCGAGGAGAGGAGGCTCCCCGCTGCTGCGCTGCTACAGGAGTCTGCAGCGCAGCTCGTCGCTGAAGGAGTGCGGTGGCAGTCTCTCGCCCGCCGCCAGCCCGTCGGGCAGCCCCGTGATGGGCCGCGCCAACCTGCCCCTGTCGGCCCTGGCGGCAGCCCCACACTCTCCACTAGCTACCCTAAATGGTGCACCTAAGCCTGGGAAGCTCACCCTTAACGGAGTGACCCCGCCAGGATTGAATGGAGCGACAGGCACTGTCACCCTCACCCCAGACTCTGCCCAGCAGTCGCAAGCGGTGACACCTAGCGGCAGCAGCGGGCAGCCAGCGACACCTGGTGACGGTAGCGGGCAGGCAGTGACACCTGGCGATGGTGGCGGGCGGGCGGCGACACCTGGCGGCAGTCCGTTCCTGCAGCACCGCGTCATTCCCGTCCGCAAGGTGGCGCTGCCGAGCTTCGGCATCTCGCGCTCGGAGAAGGTCGAGCGCGTGGCGGCGGGCAGCGGTGGCGCCCTCTCAACGCCGACGACGCCGACGTCGTTCGGTGGCCGACCAATGACGGCGCTCTCGACGCTGGTCTGCACGCAGCCGGACCTCATTGCCGCCGTCGCCAACGTGGTGGCGCCACCGTCGTGCGGCCCCCTGGTGGCGCCGGCGCCCAACGCGACGAATTCAAAGTCCCTCCTCGAGCGACTCAAGGAGAAGAAGCTTGCCAAGCAGCAGCGCACCGAGACGCCAGGGGGTGCCACCGCCTTGTCGCCCGCCGACCTCAGCATCGAGACGGCACCGAGGGAAAGCGAGGGGGCGCCACCGCTGATGCGCTCAGGCAGCGAGCCGCTGCGCAGCCCCGCGGCTGCGACGGCGGGGGTGCGCGCGTTCCGCATGCCGTGCCTCGGCTCCGAGCCCGACCTGTATTCACCACCAGATGGCGCCCCGCCGAAGCCGTCGCTGCCGTCGCCGTCGACAGTGGACGCGGCGCTGACGGGTGCGCGCGCTGAAACTACGGACTATGCAGACGTTGACTACAGCACTGCAGGAGGAGGTGGAGGAGGTGGAGGAGGAAGTGCTAAGCAGTGCGAACACACCTGCCTGAGCCTGAAGACCGCCATCGCGTGCCGCCCCGACCCTCCCACGCGCACCGCCGCCCCAGACCCCCCGCCACGCGAGGGCGCCACTGTGATAACGAGCCAGCCACCGCCGCGCTGCCGGCTGCCATACGGACGCGCGCGGTCGCCCGAGCGCGAGCGCAGGCAGGTGGCGCTACCGTACAAGCGGCCGGTCGTCGGCGACAAGTGCAAGGAGGCGCCACCGTTGGTCGGCTCGCTGCTGCGCAACAAGGAGATCACGAATAACGTGAACACACAGAAGGAGATCACAAACAACATGAACATACAGAAGGATGTCATGAACAACGTAAACACACAGAAGGAGATCACGAACAATGTGAACACACAGGAGATCACGAACAACGTGAACACACAGGAGATCACGAACAACGTGAACACACAGAAGGAGATCACGAACAACGTGAACACAAGGATGGAGAACAAGAACAATGTGAATACGACCAATGTGAACACACACAAGGAGATCATGAACAACGGGAACCCACAGAAGGAGATCACAAACAATGTGAACACACAGAAGGAGACCACGAACAAAGAAAACCTCAAGCTGCCGCTGAACAACAACAACTACTACGAGCCAAGAAAGCAGCAGCGCCACCTGGCGGTGCCGCGCGGCGACACGATCGCGCTGCGCTACTCGACGCTGAAAGACGGCGAGCCGCCATCGTTGTCGCTGTCACCAGCCGCCGCTCCGTCGCCGCGACGACGCTACTCCGACACTCGCTTCTCGATCCTCGACACACTGACGCCCTCTAGCGAGAACGACTACGCCGACGACGACGGCGACGACAGCGACGGTGGCGCCCTCACGCCGATCGAGATGCCGGACGCGTCGGAGGCGTCGCGCATCGACGCGGCGGCGTTCGCGTGCGCGTTCCTGCCCGCCGACAACAAGCCGCTCGCGCCGCGGCCGATGCTCGAGGTGCGGGAGCTGCTGCTGCACGCGACGCCCGTCAAGCTAGCGCAGCACCTGACGCGCTGCGACGTCGACGCAGTGCAGAGCGGCGTGCCGGCGCCGAGGCTCGGGCTCGGTGTCACGTCCGGGTTGGAGCTGATCACACTGCCGCAGGGCGGTCGCATGCGCCGCGACCTACTGGAGAGGTGAGTGGATGCCGCGTGTTCGGGTAGAGGGTGAGGGGGTGGTGAGAGGTGAGGGGGGGGTTTCGGGATAAAAGTTGGTATTACTTTAGGGTGAGTGAGTGTTGTCGGTGTAAAGAGAGGAGAGTCTGCCAAGAGAGAGAGCATAAGAGTGAGGAAGAGAGAGAGAAGAGTGAGAGAAAGAGCGACAATAGAGAGAAGAGAGAGAGAGAGAGGAAGATGAGAGAGAGAAGAGAGAAAGAGGAAGAGAGAAGAGAGAAGAGAGAAGAGAGAAGAGAGAAGAGAGACGAGAGAAGAGAGAGAGAGAGAGAGAGAGAGAGAGAGCGAGAGAAGAGAGAGAGAGAGAGAGAAGAGGAGAGAGAGAGAATAGACCAGCAAGCGTAGGCTAACCACAGTCAACATGGGGCAAAGCCAACAGCCATGCGTGTCAATGCAAACATGACTAGGCTAATTGACCATGCTAGCCTACATTTCGTACTGCCCCCGTGCTAGGTGCCACGAGCCAGCTGGCAAGGAGTGAGTGAGAGAGAGAGAGATGAGGAGAGAGAGGAGAGAGAGAGCGAAGCTGAGAATAGAGAAAGAGAGAGAAGAGAGAGAGAGAGGAGAGAGAGAGAGCGAACGAGGCGGAGAGGAAAGAGAGAGAGAGCAGCAGAGAGGGCTCATCCGTCCCTCATCAATCATCGGCTCTGTATGATTACCAAACCTCTTAACAATTAATTAGTTCATTAATTAATAGCTT